TTATATTAGTGAACATATTCATGAACAAGAAGTATTTGATGTAGATTTTGAAAGGAAATCTGAGGATTTGCCTGAACATCTAAAGAAGTTGTGTTCAGACGGATGTGAACATTTAACAGAGGAAGAAAGTATTACTTTCAAGGAATTTTTAATGGAATTCAAAGGAGCATTTGCTGACCCGAACCAACCAATGGAGCGTGCTAATTTTGGAGAGCATTGCATTAAATTGAAAAATGAATCGCGGTTTAAGGAACCACCCAGGCGAGTCCCTATATTTAAAAGGGAAATACTGGACACGGAAGTTCGGAATTTAGAGAAGCATGGACTTATAGAGGAGTCCATGAGCCCTTGGTCATCACCCCTTGTCCTGGTGCAGAAAAAGGACAAAAGCTGGAGAGTGTGCGTAGACTATAGGAAACTCAACGCTCAAACGATTAAGGATGCTTATCCCATTCCAAGGATTGCCGATAATTTAGATTCATTGGCGGGATCTAAATGGTTCACTTCATTGGATTTAAACATGGCATACCATCAGATTCCAATATCGGAGAGTGACAAAGAAAAGACTGCTTTTGCAACACAACGTGGAGGATTGTACCAGTACCGAGTTATGCCTGCCACTTTTCAGCGTGTTATTGAGAGAGCATAACAAGGACTACAATGGCATATAACAGTTCTTTACTTGGACGATATAATTGTGACTGGTCAAGATTTCTCGGATCATCTGAATAATTTACGACAAGTGCTCGATCGACTTGGGCAAGCAAACTTGAAACTTAAAGCGAAAAAGTGCAAATTCTTTCAAAAGGAAGTGATATTCCTCGGACACATTGTGTCAGAAAAATGGTGTTAAAACTGACCCGGCGAAAACTAGAGCTGTCGAGGAATGGAAATCACCAGAGAATGTATCTGAATTAAGGAGTTTCTTAGGACTTGTGTCTTATTACCGGAAATTCATTAAAAACTTTGCCGAAATAGCGAAATGTTTACATGCACTTACAAGTAAAAATTCTAAATGGGAATGGATGAATGAATGTGAAAATGCATTTCAAATGCTGAAATCAAAACTAGTGACTGCTCCCATACTAGGATATCCAGATACGGATGGAGGTGTATTTGTTCTAGACACTGATGCTAGCAACAACGCAATTGGAGCTGTTCTGTCACAAATTCAAGATGACAAGGAGATAGTTATTGAATATGCTAGCCGAACTTTGAATAGTGCAGAGAGAAATTACTGCGTTACTCGGAAAGAAATGCTAGCGCTTGTGTATTTTATAAAGCATTTCAAACATTATTTGCTCGGGCGGGAGTTCATTCTTAGAACTGACCACGGATCATTAGTTTGGCTGCACAAACTTCGGGAGCCAGATGGACAAGTAGCGAGATGGCTTCAACAACTGGGACCATACGTTTTTCGGATTGTGCACAGACCAGGCAAACGACATGGGAATGCTGACGCACTATCCAGAATCAGTGACAGTTAAATCTGTAAACAATGCAAGCGCGACGTTCACGAAGAATCGACAGAGGAAACTTTCACTCATGTAGACGAATTAAGAAAACTATGTGAATCCCCGGAGCGCTACAAACAGAACAAAGTTTTAGATATCGGATGTTTGTTATATCCCGGAAGTTATCCAAATCCGGATGCGTGTCAAGTAGAAACAACAACTGAAAACAGTAAAACGGCTAGGCGTAAGAAAGTCAAAAACAGACCCCCTCCAGCGAGGCAACGAAAACAACCAGCAGAGTCTCTTACAATTGAAAATATACGTAAGCACCAACAAGAAGATCATGAGATGTCAGAAATGCTGCGCTTAAAAGAGAAATTGGATTCTGCTAAACCTGCCATAAGCTCTATTTCTCACACCAGTTTTGAGTTCAAATTCTGATATTCTAGGTGGGAAATGTTAACAGTTGATCATGGTTTGTTATGTTACCGGTGGATTGAAAAAGACAGTGAAACACTTACAATTTTGTGAAATTTATCCCTTACGTGATATGGAAGCTGAAACTGTGGCAGAAACATTATTCAAAGGTTGGATTAAACGATACGGATGTCCGTTAGAAATACATTCCGATCAAGGTAGACAGTTTGAAAGTCAACTATTTCAAGAAATGTGCAGATTACTTCAGATCAACAAAACACGGACAACTGCTTACCATCCGCAGTCCGACGGGATGGTAGAGCGATTAAACCGAACTATAAAGGAAATGTTATCGAAATACATTTCAGCTCATCAGACAGACTGGGACAAGTACATAGACGGGATCGTTCTGGCCTATAACAGTACACCCCATGAAACAACGACTATATCTCCGTATAGAATGATGTTCGGAACAGAGCCCTCACTACCCTTGGATTTTATGACTACGGAATTAACCGAGGAAGAACCAGTTCGGAAAAATGATTCGGAATATGTGAGAAACTTGGAAAGTGAACTATATTTTGTGCACAATCTTGCGAGAGAAGTTACAGGGAAATAATCGCAAAGACAAAAACATTATTATGGCAGAAATGTTCGTAATGTGAATTATGACATTGGAGATAAAGTGAGGCGAAATCAACGCCAAATTATTACAGGGACGAAAGCAAAACTAGCAAGGAACTGGACAGGGCCATGGTTTATTGTAAAAAGACTGAGCGATACACTCTATGAAATTCAACATTCCAAAAACTCAAAGCCTGTGATAGTGCACGCCGACAATATCAAACCATACAGAGGGAATAAACAATCGTGCCCGGCTCCTGAATCCGAATATACAACTGGCGAGACAGCAGGGGCCCCGCGACTTCGCGTGCCAGCTGCGAGCGAGAGACCGATGACCAAACGATTGAAGTTACCGCCAGAGCCGCGACCCGAGACTGTCACAGCGGAACAGTCACATGCCGACAGCCAATCAGAAGCCGTCATTAGAACAACACGACTTGGAAGAGTTATAAGAAGACCACTTCGGTACCAGACTGACCATTCTTCAGATGATTTGTGAATATTGTGGGTGTGTGTTTTCGACAATTAATAACTTATACCAGCATCAACGCGAACAGCATAGAAGTGACTTGAATGTGATTGAATGTGAATATTGCCAAAAACTGTTCACCAGAAAATCAAATCTTAAAAGACATCTTAAAAACGTCCATAAGTTAGACCAGGATTTCGTCAATGAGGCCTTAAACACCCCGCGGCGGAAGATTCAACGACACAGTTTCATGGAGACCCGAAAACCGGTGTACGTTATGAGTGACTTTTATGAGGACATTTCCTCCGATGAGGAAGAGATGCATTATCATGAGACAGCGCAGCCATCCGTTACGGACTATTATCAGGACTTAGAAATTATCTCAGTGAATTCGGACGATTTGCCTGAAGTAGATGACGTTTTTGTCAGTGAAATTCTCGGCGATGTGGAGGAAAATACGTGCTCGGGACCAACGGAAGAATCTATCGGGTCACCAGACGTGAGCGAAGCCGCGAACTCGTCATCAGAGGACAGTGATATGCATGACATGGACGAAAATAACAATCGCATAAGTGTCGAGACGTCAACCATATTCCTTGTGATGAAGAAGACGATTCGGACTAATCCTGACGGTACCGAGGAGATCAATCGAGAGTCGCAGATAATCTATTCGGAGAACGTGAATCCCGAAGAAGTAGACTTCCGTGAACTTGCCAGTGAGATTCTGAAGGAGGTGCCGCGCACCTCGCGCCGAGCGCCCGTGTGCGCGTAGTAAAATGGGATTTATCTTTATGAACTGTATATACGTGACATATACTTGAGGCCATACTGTGAAAGCTGTGAACTTTAACAAAAAGACTTGTGATTATTTGACAAGCTTTATGTATATAATTTTTAATTATTTATATCTTTGATTTTTATTATGTTTTCATGTCATGTTTGTAAATATTTTTTTATGCTTTGTTTTGTCCGAAAGTGATTTATTGTTACGTAGACTAAGGTTGCTAGTTGTAAGTTAATATGTTTTCTTTTTAACAAAATAATTTCATAATGAATTGTGTAGTAAAAATTTACTGATTTGGAAAGAAATAATTGTTTATATAGCTAACGTTTATTTGTTTATGTATTTCCTTTAAATTTTACCATCATATTTAACTTCAAGAAATTAATATTAGCTTATCTATTGTTTAATCATTTTGAACGGAGTCAAAAACTTAAAGGGGGGGGGGGGGAGTTGTAGCGAATTATTACGTAACGATGATTTGTTTATATAACATTGCTCCTCGCGAGCAATGGTTTTTTGTTTACGTTGCATTGCTCCTCGCGAGCAATGGGTTTTATGTATATATATAGGAGCGATTTTAGACAGTCAGTCAGTCAGTCAGTTTTTGATATGCATTACGATCACTTCGGACAATTTTTATTTGGATTTTTATACTTACTGGGTTTATGCTAGTGTGGATTTTAAAATGTGAATAAACTGTAAACTTGATTACTTGCGTATCATTTCAAGAATATTCATTGGGAGAAATGGAAAACACTGAGAGTTATTCCCCTTAGACCGTATCGGAAAGACGTTACATACCCAATACTCTAAGTTCACAGGGGGACTGGGAATGTGCGCTTATGGATATTATATTTAAGACCGCAAGCGTCGCAAAACCAAAAGTTATTAGCATATTGACAGATTTATGTTGTAACAGTTATCCTTATTTTAAAAAGTTACCGGTTTTGCGCAGATTGACTATATCGAATAAGAATCACGAATTCAAGCATCCATCCTATATTCCCATGTCGCGTGATCAGATTCAAAGATTCCGCATATATTTAATTGAAGAAAAGAAAGCTTACTCTACATTACAAATCGAGTCTTTATACTGCACGTCACACATCAGAAAATGTCTTGGAAGCCGTTCGTAGCCAATGTAGAGGAGTGGAAAAATCATTTTCTCGCCACCAGTAAAATTAAGTACATACCTAAACAAAAGACGTACGTGGTGGGACAGTTTGGCTAAGGGGCAAGCAGTCCGAAACCTATGATAGAACTTGTAACAGACACACAGCAGGCGGTAGAAAGAGCTAAGGCGGAGTTAAAGAAACGGAAGCTGGAGGGTGGACCAGTCGTGACGTTTGAGGCAGAGGGACAAACACGCCCAAAGAAGTCAAAGAAAAAAGCACAAAAAAATTGTATTTGCGCAATAAAAGTTTTCTTTATATCAAATATTTGTCATTTATTAATTCTTCGTCGATAGATAAGCATGTCTTTTTTGGCAGAGGGGTCAGGACCCGCTTTTAGCCATCGGTTAGCCCTCTTTCATAACTTACCAACAGATGCAGGAGTACGAGCAAACTGAGTGGATTGATATTCGACCAGTAGGGAGTACGGCTCATGGTGGGGTCATTGAATTTAACATTTCGGGTGCATCAACACATTATTTAGACTTGAGTAGAACTCGTCTTTTATTAAGGGTAAGAATTTTAAATGAAGATGGTTCTCCCCTGAAGGAGAAAGAAAAAGTAGGATTTGTTAATTTAACCTTGCAGAGCTTGTGGATCAAGTAGATGTGTCAGTACAACAAGTCATAACGCCCACACTTTCAACTAATTATGCGTATAAAGCATACATGGACGTTTTCCTCAAGTACGGGACTTCTGCCCAAGTCCCTTGCTTGTCATCACAACTATACATACCCGATTCTGCTGGTTTGACGGATAGCGCTGACGCAGTTACAGGTGGAAATATGGGTTTATTTCAGCGGGCCGGTTTGACAGAAAAGAGTTCATTTGTAGATCTTGAGGGCCCCCTATACATGGATATTTGACGACAAGATCGCTATCTCATCAATTGTATACAAGTAGACGTCAAGTAAACGTCAAACTGTGGCCAAGTAGGCAAACATTCTGTTTGATGGCTCCAGCAGGCTCTAAGCGAAATCGTGTACATATTGAAGATGTATTTTAAAATGATGCTACTTGAAAATCAATCCCGGTCTACTTCTGGGTCATAACGAGGCTATCAAGAAACAACCAGCTTTGTATCCGTTCATGAAATCAGATATAAAATGTTTTGGTATACCGGCTGGTCAATTTCATTTGAATGAAGACGATCTCTTTCAAGGAGAAATTCCTGAAAAATTAGTTGTCGGTTTTGTTTCATCAAAAGCTTACAGTGGTAGTGGAGTATTATTTCAGGCAGTTGCTCCTGAATATTGTAATGATTTTTTTTTATTATGTCGATGTTAGGCCTTGGTACAAACGTTTTATGTATTTAATGTTTTGAGATATTCTTTCTTTGCAATACATGTAATACCTTTAAATATCTTAGATTCAAGATGCATCAACAGAAGACCAATATAAAGAGGCAATCAACAATGATTGGATTCTAGACCATGGTCTTGCTCCCCACAATTTGAAAATGGAAAGAAGGGATGAGATTTTGAAAATTCTTTTCAAGAATGAGATATATTACAGGTAGGTGATCACTAAATAATTCACCGACATAGTATCGAATGAAACATTGCATGCAGTAGAGTAAGGGAACACTATATATGTAAATCTAAATTAATCTTTGTAAATTCATTATGGGAAATGTACTCTGGTAATCTATTGTCCATATATTCATTCACTTTGGTGGAAGTGGACATACTAGAGGCTTAAGTGTAGCTCTGATAGACAACTGATACACATTCTAGAATGGGCAACCAAAGGGAGTAAATAGTGCAAAGATATTGTCGATGGAAAGGGGATATGAAGGTGATACATGTGTAATGATGTTCAAGGTCACAGTGTATATACTCACCAAACTCTTTTGTAAGTCATATTCTTAACACAAAGCAGCCCAGTAGTATTCCTTCATTTTCAATATCATGGTTTGTACATTCCTCCATATGATTGTGGTGCCAAGGTAAGCAATATAAGTTTATTGGGGCTTATTGATTTCTTTTATCAGAGTGCACAGTGAAATTTCCCAGTTTACTGATGGGCTGGACCAGGTTGGGAACTTTGCTAAAGCTATTGCCAAGGCCCCTGAGGCTTTGGAATGTCTGTCTGTAGCAGGCAAATCATCACGCTTGATGTTTGGTGGACTGAGGAAACTTTATGACATAGAGTTCAGTCCAGCAGGATCAAACAACCGAAGGAAAGAAGATGAAGTTATTTACTGCTTTGAAGCAATGTGTGCCGACTGTGAAGGTAAACAGAAGAATACATCAGTAACAGCTTTTGTACATGTCTGCGTCATTTTATGAAGCATAGATGTACCATAACATTTATTTAATAAGTATATATAAATGAAGTACAGATGAGTCTGTCTGTCCGTCTGTCTGTCACACTTTCAACAATGGAGCATCTCTTGTTAACCATACATGTAAGGGCTTTCATATTTTACATGCTTATTATTTATGACAAGCCCTTTCTATTGGTACCATTTCTCAATGTCACAGGAAGGTCAAGGTCATGGCAGGCAACACACGTTCCTTCAAACACTCATGTTCTTCATAAATACACTTATACCTTTCATATAAACTTGCTGTCCTCTGACTTATCTTAAATATACAGATTTGGGGGAAACTAGATTTTGGTCTGTCCGTTTGTTTGTCTACCTGTTTGTCTTCGGCAAAAAACTTAAATATTGATCATAACACTTGAACCATAAAAAGTAGGGCTTTCATATTTCACCTGTATGTTTCTTGTGAAAAGACCTTTCCATTAAGCCCCAAGAAAAGGGTAGGATTGGGGTCAAAGGTCAGGAAGTAGGACTTGTCTTTTTTTGACTATTGCCAACTGGGGTGCTTCACAAACGTTGTTTTTAAATAATCATGCTAATCATTTTCTATACGGAACAAGTTGGATTATCACAGAATATATTATAATTGCAATGGACTTAAATTGTATATCACAGCATTGTACCTTAAAAGTTTAATATAGTCATTTTACTTCCAACTTAGGTTGCAATTGTGATTTTCTTGTCGAAGCTAAAAGTGAGTGTTGGATATAAATATTTCACAAAAGTTAAAATGAGTGTCTTATTTATCTTAATTATCCTGGGAACTTTGTCATTTTGCTCCTGAAAGTACTTTCAGCATAACTTGCTCACAAATGAAAGGTATTTCCTGGAGCAACTTTAAATTATCCCAGGGTAATTACAGTGTTAAATGTACTAATTTTTATAACTATTTAGTAGGCCACCACATAAAGAAAAACAACAGAAAAGTTTTTTTCTGTAAAATAAGTTGATTTTACTTTTCAGCTAACATTCTGGAAGTTACACTGAATGATTTGCTTGCATTTTGGACGGGCGCGGCTGAAGTTCCTCCTTTAGGATTTGACAAGAGATTGAAAATACGCTTTAAACACCAACTCCGAGTTGCACATACATGTGAGTTGGAAATTCATCTGTGGAGAGGATATTCTGATCCTGATAATTTTAGGGATGATATGGTTAAAGCCATTCAATGGGGTGGAGGATTCTACCTAGCATAAGGAGTATGGTGTTATTTTATTATGTGTGCTAGTAAGGTTTGTGAATCTAGAACACTCTTGCTTTTAGCTTAGTTGATGATAAGCTATTGAGAGTGTTTAAACATTGCTTGTTTATTTTACTTGGTACACGCAACTTGATTGACCAGGGACTTGATGACGTCGAACTATTTTTCAAAGTCCAGTGAACTTAGCAATTATGCACACTTCTTACGTACATCATAGGACTGGGTATTCATGACTTATTGCTATACATGCATTTCAGTTGTATATATCGCGTGCATGAACAGCACAATTTCTTTAGAGCTAAGACCTGGTGAATATTTCTGTCATGATTACAGTTTTGAGGTTATGATATTTAATATTATTCTTGAGAAAAAGAAATGTTTTGAAAAGGCATGACTTTTTGGTTTACTCTTTGGAAGTATCTTTTTCCGAGGGACATTTATTACACATCAAAAATGACACATAGTTTTCCCTTTTTTTAATCATTTTAAAGACGATCAATATTGACACATATTTTTCTCCTTTTTATCATTTTAAAGATGAAACTGTATTAATTCTCAAAAATCAAAATGCATGTGTGATGATAGTTGTAGCATGTTTGAAATTTCTATCCTTGGCTATCTCACCTGAGCAGAATGCTCAAGTGAGCAATAGTCATGGCTTTTCATTAATTCATTGTTCATCCATGAACTTTATAGCATTTTGTACTTCATTGTATTCCTTGTGACAAGACCTTCCCACTGACCCTTCAAGGGGTGGATAGGGTGGTGTCAAAGGTCAGAAAGTAGAATTTTTATGCTCCCATAGAAAATTCAGGGGACACATATAGTTGCTGTTATGTCTGTCAATCCATCTGAACTTGTATCTCCTACACTGTTCAAAAGATTAATTTGATTATACTTCACACAGTTGCCACACTGGATGTTGACTTTTGGATAAAGTTCACTTAAGTTCATTTCTAAAAGGTCAAGATCACTCAGAAAGGACGAATTTAAATACCAAAAAGGGATTATATTTAGTGAATTTTCAACAGGCAGCATTACACCTAACACCACGAGGTTTAGTTCATGGCCCTTCAGGGTCATTTCTGAGAGGTAAAGGTGACCAGTAGAACTGGATGTACAATACTTAATATAACTGGCTTATATTTTGACAATTTTTGTTAACAAGAAATGATCATACTTCACATGAATGTTTCATGGCACTCTACCTTTTAGATCAAAGCACTAATGGACTAATTCTAGCTACAGTCCATCTCAAGGTCATAGCTGAATGGTCCAGGTCACTTGAAAAATATAACCAAAAATATCAATAAAGGTTCATTTTTGTCAAATTCTTTCCTTATTAGAATCATCATCAAAACTGAGGACATATTTGACTTCTGTTTTTTTTAAGTAAAGGCCACTCAAGGTCATATCTCAAAGGTCAAAGTCATGTAGAAGTACTGCACAGTGCAGTCTGGGGAGCATCCATAAATTTTACTTATTTTTTTTGTACATTTTTTAGCTTTACTGCCAACTAGAAACATCAGTGTTTCACAAATACATCTTGTTCTCATAATTACCCAACGGATTTTCATAAAGCCCAGCAAGTAAGTGTCAGAACTAATTGTAATGTTTTAAACTAATATGCATATTCCCCAGAACCACCAAGGGTGGGACAGATTTCCTGTAGATTAAAAATTGGATAGTTTTGAAACAGTATCTTAGTTCACTTTTGGTGCTATGTAGGCAGCATAGGCCCATTTGAACCACTTTTTAGAGCGATCCTATAATCTATGACTTCCAAAGGCTAAACAAAGTTTATGAAGATCACAGATCCATTTGTTTACAGCAGCCTTGGAACAGATTATTTGAGTGTGTTTGAGGTCAGTTGGATTTTGAAATCTATCAAGTGTATTACTTTCTGTTGGTTAACTACTAGTATATATCTCCATAAATTGGCGTACATGAAAAGAGTGTGATTTTACAATGTTTTCTTTTTATAAACAGACTGTTTTAAACAAAAGCAATCACTGATTTGTCATTTTATAAAGAATATTGTAAACAAATCATTTCAACAAATTATTCATGAAACAAATTACTTGAGTGTCTTTGAGGTCAGTTTGATTGAAGTGTATCATTTTCTGTTGGTTAACTACAGATCTATATCAGTCAACCTACATGAAAATAATGAGATTTTGCTGATTTTTATTTTATAAACAAAATATTTTAAAGGATTTATTTCACCTCATCTCACTGTCAGGTAACAGAGTAATAAATGTTGTTTAAGATGTTAATTTCGTGTCTTTGTACTCATTGAAGAGAAATCAACATAACTACAGTGCTTCCTTCATTGTCATGATATTGTTTAAAGCTGCTCCCTTTGTTACATCCTTAACATAATCTGTCTTTCTGTCATCTACTATGGACGACAGGCCAAGATTGAAGTGTACTTGAATGTGAAGCACTTGCTGATCACACATCAGTATTTTTGTTGCCCATAACCCAAGGGTGCATATTGACTTTGATTCACATGACCCTGACCTAGGAACATGACCAAGGTCACAATGTGAAGACCCTGTTTGAGTCATAAGCCTTACACCCTTACATGATATTAGATGATAATTTGGATTGTGGTTACCCTTGACCTGAGGATGTGTCATGACCTAGATCCAAGGGTTAGTTTCTTCCTCCAAGGGATGGTATTTGTCCAATCTTATGACAATTGTAGTGTCATGTTTGAGTGTTTTTTCCGTTATTTTTTTCTATACAGAAAATGACTTTGCTTCATCACGATAATGAAAGGGAACAACCACAGTATCCAAATTAAACAAAGAAATCTCATGGAAAATCCTCCAAGAAAGTCCTATTTATACCCCCTCAACAAAGAGGGGGGGGGGGGTTATATTGGTATCACCCTGTCCCACTGTTAATCAGTTCAATCGTATCTGGACGGTAACTTCTTACTGGTATGTTGGATCATGCTAATACTTCATACAATTGTTCTCCATGACCCAAAGGATGTGTCATAACCTTGACCAAGGACTTATGACTAAGGTCAAGATCACAGTGGACTTGGATGTGAAAGTCACCTTATACACAGGTTGCCATAAGGGTATTCCTTTAGAAGAGTTTTAGTTTATGTTTGTTAACTTATACTTTGTTTACACTTTTTAAGCTATTTTGAAACCTGCGTCTCATTGGAATAGATATAGATCACTTTGTCTGGCATCTGTCTGGTTGTTCATTTGTCATGTTTGTTTGCCTCACATGAATGACCATAATACTGTGATGACAAGTCACATCTTCATAAATAAAGCATCTGATCAAGGTCAATCTGACATCCACTACTCTACACTACTCTCAGACTCTAGTTTTAACTGTAAGATGTTGCAGCAACCTTCATTCGTTAATGACCAAAAGAAATGATGTATACTATCAGTTATTTCATATGCCTGCTAAGATGTGAGGTGACACAATGTGTCCCGTGGGGACATACATGTAACAAGCACCATTGTTGGGGGTCAAATCGATGATAATTCATTCACACACTTAAGGAGCTTTATTTATATCACCAAGAAAAAGTCCGAGTTTGCACAACACACATATAGCATATTTTTAAACATTTTTCTAAAACATAGTCTTACCATCGCTTTGAATTTGAATTTCAGTTCACTCCTTCGATTTCATACATGTAGCTTAAAGCTGACATGAATTCTTAAAAACGCAACATTTGCGACTTGTTTCATACCAACTAGCCGTATCCCGCCATATTTCTTTCAGATACCTTGTCTTATTGTAACGATATATACCCCCGTGCCCTCGTTACACTTGAGTGAATTTTTGGATTGGCTATCGACGCGTGCACATCTCCGATAGTAAAGTTTTTGGGAACACATGAAATGATGAAAACAGTTTAAAACCAGAACAGATAAAAACAGTCATAACGATAATTATAAATAATTATCGTTTTGAATAATATAAATGCAAGTTTGGAAGAAAAAAACAGTTGCGCGTGTTTTTTTTTAAAGCAATACAATGCACACTAAACTTGAAATAATACACAGTGAAACTCGTACAAACAATTTTCAATAATCTATCGTAAGAATGGAAAAAAAATAACAGCGTATTTGCTATGCATGTCATGCATTCAAATACAATTGATGTATATCGATAGAACGCGTCGAACGCTGTAAACTTACTCATACCTGGAAATAGACTACTGTACCCGTTCGAAGATGTGCACATGCGGAGTGATTTACACCTTGTATTCCATTTATTGAAACATGAATCACAAAAAAGTAATAAACTCCATAAATACTAAATGCTCAACAGTAAACACGTTGTCACCTCATCGTACAGCCTAGTACTTAGACACACTTAGTCCGTGCTGATCAGATTTTGGTCAGGGAAAATATCAAAAGTGAATTAGTATTTGCGCGACTGGGTAAAAAATAAGAAATCACTTTAAAAAAGACTGATTGCTGATTATCTAAAAACTAAACGGGGTAATTTGGTGTAAGAAAATGATTTAGAACACGACATGAAAGCATTTAACCAAAACACAAATAAACAAATATACACACATGTGGAGCGGGGGGGGGGGGGGGGGTTACCCCCCTTTTCTCAGAGTGTCTTTCAGGCACGTACATGTAGCATCTAAGAAATAATTAACACTTTACCTGAAAAATCTTTGACAAGCAAAAAAAAATTAATAATAATAAAAAAAATAAAGTAAAATAAAGTAAAATAAAAAAAAAACAACTCCAAAATCCTATTTTGTGGCTTTGATGGCGGGGGGAGGGGGGTGCAACTTTTTCGACAATTTGACTATAGTGCAACAAAAAATGGAGGGGATCAGCCTTTAGGTGTGTATTTCATACTAAACAGTAAAACATGCTCGGAAAAAGTTGGAGGGGGCATCCCACACCCCCGCCTTCTACAGGCTTGTCTTTCACGATTGATTTTATAAGGATTTTTTTTTATTTTAAGACTGACTGCCCCCCCCCCCCCACTTACTCTCATCCAGCATTATTG